ATGAGAAACTATTTGTTCTGTAAGCCTTCACCTGAAGTACAATAAAAAAAAAAATTAAAAAATTAAAATTAAAAAAAAAAAGTAAAAAGCTTTTGCAGCACCTAATGATGACTTAGAGTTTACCGTTGCTTTATTTTCTTCTAGAACTTAGCTTGTTTCTCCAGAAAATCTGAAGTATTATTTTCCTCAACGTTAGCAGTTTCTTCAGTAGGTGTGCTCCTTCCTTAACTCACTAGTTAATTTACCAGTGAACCAAGGCTATGATTGAAAATGTTTTCTCAGTAGTTTTTATGTTTGAACCAAAAATCGTGGAATAAAAAAATACCTGTAGGACGCATATTTATAGAAGACACAAATATGGATACTTCTCAGACATAGCCAAACACCTTCTAACACTGCTTTTCTGGGTTTGAAGGCTTAGGACCATAGTCTCATGGGATAACTCTGTCAATCGGCATAACATAATTCACAAAAATCATGATAGGCATTTTAGTGAAATTAGCAGCTTCTGAGGTCTTAAGAGCTTGCCAGCAGCCTTCTAAGACACAACTACAGGTCTCTACTTGCAAGGAGCAAAACAGTAAGAAGGTATCCAAAAGTACAGAGAATAAACAAGTCTACATGAGCCACAACCTCATCTACCCCATGACCAGAAGAACTAGATGGTGCCTGGCTACCACCACTGATGTTCTGATGGACGTCAAAATAGTTGGTCCTGGATAGAAGGGGAGAAAAATATGAAGCAGAACTCAAATTCTTATTTAAAAAAAAGAAAAAAGCCAGACAAACTGGAGCAGTAGAGAGCAGACAACTCCCTGAGACTATTGCCCTGAGACACTCTTTAAACCTAGAACCAAGCCTATCCCCTGAGATCACCTTTTAGTGAAATAGTAGAGTGGCAAACAAAAGAGAGGGTATTATCTGTAAGATTGGTACTCTACTTAAAAACCATCGGTATGAGACCAAAAGGTCAGCTATTACTTAAAAGCAAAAATGAGAAGATAACAGGGCAGGAAAACTAGAGTGCCAGAAATAGAACAAACTGAACACAATTAAAGAGAATGTTGACACTTGATAAATGTGATTAATGTCACAACAATTTGTGTGGATATTGTCAAATGAGAACCTAACTTGTTGCATATAACTTTCACCAAAAACTCAATAAAATATTAAAAAAATAAATACCTGTAAGTAAGGAATCACTTTGCAGAGGGACTGTCCAAAGAACCAGGTCTCAGTGATATCCACAACCAGTGTGGCTGGAAGGCAGGTGATGGTCACGAGCACATCAGCCAGAGAAAGGTTGACTATGAAGTAGTTTGTTACTGTCCTCATGTGATGGTTCTTCCACACTGCCACACAAACTAAGATGGAGAGAAAAAGCAATAGTAATTGGACAAAGAAAATAGGTACCAATGAGGAAAAATTGTCAAGTTATTGATTACTCCTGTAAAGCCCACATATAATTATTAAAAAGGAAAGATAATTTAGGGCTGTGCTGTGTTTTCACTGAGCCAACCTGTGTGAATGCTGAATTACATGCTTAAAATTAGTTCATTTACCTTGCGAGACATTTCTCAATGGATCAAAAGACTATTTTTATTTGATTTTGAACTGTGACTCCCAGAAGTCAAAGAACAGTCTTTGATTTTTCTATTCCTTCAGTAATCAGGATGCAGTAGATACTCAAGAAACATTTGCTGAGTTGACATGAATTAGGAGTTAGCTTTTTTCAGTGAATTGTATTTTGCCTCATCGTTGGTTTGACCTATGTCTGCTCCCAATCTCTGCATCTGGGACTTCTAACAGATGAAGAGGCTTAAAAGTCAGGACCTGGCAATTATTTAGCCTCTACAATTGCCAAACACCGAGCTAAATGGTTCACGTATTTAGATTGTCTAATCCCGACAACAATCCTGAGGGAAGATGTCATTATCTGCATTTTACACATGAGGTAACTGAGACACAGAGAATTCGTGGATGTTGCCTAAAGACACAACGCTCATGAAGCATAGAACTACAGTTACAAGTGAGATTTAACTCCAAGCGAAAAAGACGTTCTTTTCACTGCACAAGTTTCCTCCTTTCATAAAAATGAAGGAGCTATAATGAAGCACATACAAATTCTAGAAGCTCAATCCTCACTCCTTTCTATTACCCTTGATGGCCTCTGACCATCAGCTCAAATCAAACATGCTTTTCAGTACTTTCACAGCTGGGCTTCCCTCGTTGCCTTACAGCATATCCCCAGGTTTAAAAGCTTTGCTATCTCGTTTAGTTTCTCTGTATTGAAATAGCATCCAGTTCCTCCTTTCTCTGTCCTCTCCCTGTCTGGCTTATCCAAAGGTTACATAATCACTGGTTCCAGAATTATATAGTGTACACATTGCTACCTACATCTATTGATGGGTTTACTTCACTGAAAGTAGCTGTGAATTAGCCTGGAGTATCATTAACCTGTCAGAGTTGTCACCTATGCACCCAAATGATGCAGTGATTAGTAATCTTATATAGTGAAGAAATAAAAGAACATTTTGTTAAACTTAAGTTGCCAAATGAGGCTTTATTTTTGCTATTTATGTACCATTTATTAAGAGTAACTCTTAATAAATGTTACCAACCTTGCGTTATGTAAATGGTACGTAACTGTTTTTCTTAGCTCCTGAAGCTAAAACTGCCCTTCGGTCACCAATAGATGCCAACAGAGTGAAATATCGGAATTTCTGAGCATTTAGTTTTGAAAAGGTCACATCTACCTCTCACTCCAGCACACGAGTGCCCTAAAACTCAGGTGAGCTTAATTAAGGTAAACTGTCTTTATTGAAAATGAAGCTGCGGACACACACATACATATACAAACCCACCCTCATGGTTGAGTAAGACACCCTCATGGTTGGCTAAGACATAGCTTGTTATGAGAAAATTGGCAAAAAATATCACCCTGCTGGACTTGGTCAAGAAAATGCCCAAATGGTGCAAACTTGGATCTAGAAAAGAAAACAGGTCTTTTAGTTCAACTTTCAACTCCCCATAGTTTGGAAGTGAAGAATGGCAATGACAAGAAGACAGTGTTAGTGCCATTATGTCGAACCAATATTAAAGCAAGTATGTTTTCAATAAACGCTTGTGTAGTACTTGCTATGTGACATGTTCTAGTCTATGCACTTGAAAATATAAACCAATTGAATCTTCATAATAACACTATGATGTTATTATAACACTAACATGCCCATTTTAGAGATGGGGAACTGAGGACAGAGAAATTAAGAAATCTTCCCCAAAACAAATAAGTGTAAGTGGTAGAGCATGGATTCAAATTTTATCCACTTTGCTATTCTGTGGTGGTATATACTCTTGAACAAAGAGGGAGATGATGGGGCTGTGACATAACATCATAGAATTTTGGAGTTGGAGATTATTTAGTCTAACCTACCATCTGCATGAGTCATCTGTGCAACAGCCTTGATGCATCGCTCTTAAACATTTTTAATAGTAAAGAATTCACGACAAGCTAAAGCCTTTGAGTTCATTTTGTGGTAGCTTTGACTACCAGCAAATTCTTGTTCATGTTGAGTTGAAATCTGCTTCCCTTTCATTTTTGCTCACTGGTTCTTAATTCTTTCCTGGACTCAATGAATAAACCTATTTTTCTACATTGAATTCATTCAAATATGTAAGGACGGCAGCTATGCCCATTGGGCAAACCTTTACTTTTTTGGGCTAAATATCTCCAGAATCTTCATATAAAACAACAGTATTTTGAATCCCTCATCATCCTTGTTTCTTCACGCTGAACATGCTCCAGATTATCAGTGCCTATTTCTAAATGAGCCATCTGTAACTGCATGCACATTTCCAGGAGCGGTCTAACCAAGGTAGCAAACAGCAGAGTGATTGCTTCGGTCACTATCTGTCTACTAAGACAGCCTGAGGCCCTGTTAGCTTTTTTAAGAGCCAAGTCACACTTTTTTGGATCGTGTATCTATAGATTTGCCAGAAATTGGTCTCCTATTGTAGATGTTAGATTAAATCTTTGCTTTTGAATGCTGGAGAGAAAAAGAAGAAATCTATAATGAACATTATCAGGACAATTGGAAAAATTTGAATTTGGACTTCATATTAGATAATATTATTGTACTAATTTTTAAATATCTGAGGTATGATATTTACACTAGTCTCATTCAAATATTTAGATACATGTATAGCCTATTTCCCAAGTCTTTTTTTCTCTGGACTAAGTATCACCAGACCCTTCATACACAACAGTAGGATTTTACATCCCTCATCACCCTGGTCTCTTTATTTTGAACATGCTCCAAATTATTAGTATCTGTCTCTAAATGAGCTATTCAGAACTGCATGCACATACCAGGTAAACGTCTTTTAAATGCGTGTTGAGCAATACCCATTTGTTCATTCACTCCCCCATTCAAAGTACTACAGGTACAATATGATGAAGTCCCCTTCCCCCAAGCATGCTAAATATATGCAAAGTTAAACTTCTCATCTTTTCCTATAAACTCATCATTAACTTTGTCTCTATCAAGTGTAGTTTTCTTCCTTGTTCTCTCCAATAATCTGTGCTCAAAGCCCTCAAAATATCTACTACCTCTGTCACTTTCCTTCTAGTTGTTGTTAGGTGCCTTCAGGTCAGTTCCAACTCATAGTAACCCTACGTACAACAGAATGAAACATTGCCCGGTCCTGTGCCATCCTCAAGATCATTGTTATTCTTGAGTCCATGTTGCAGCCACTGTGTCAGTCCAGCTCCTTGAGGGTCTTCCCGTCTACTTTACAAAGCATTATGTCCTTCTCCAGGGACTGGTCTTTCCTGATAACATGTCCAAAATACTTGAGGCCAAGTCTTCTCATCCTTGCTTCTAAGGAGCATTCTGACTGTACTTTCAGGACCGATTTAGCTGTTCTTCTGGCAGTCCATGGTATATTCAATATTCTTTGCCAACACCATAATTCAAAGGCATCAATTATTCTTCAGTCTTCCTTATTCATTGTCCATCTTTCACACGCATATGAGGCGATTAAAAACACCATGGCTTGGGTCAGGCAGACCTTATTCCTTAAAGTGACATCTTTGCTTTGTAACACTTTAAAGAGGTCTATTTGCAGCAGATTTGCTCTATGTACTGTGTCGTTTGATTTCTTGACTGCTGCTTCCATGAGCGTTGACTGTGGATCCAAGTAAAATGAAATCCTTTACAACTTCAATATTTTCTCCATTTATCTTGATGTTGCTTATTGGTCCAGTTGTAAGGATATTTGTTTAATGTTGACTTGTAATCCATACTAGTCCTGCTACTAATAGTCAAATACTCTATGTCAGATTGTCTTAACCTTTAGCTAGAGTATTGCAGTAAGCTTCTAATAGTTCTCCCTGTGTCCTACTTGTCCTTACTTCTGTCCATTTTATCCATTGCTGTCACTCACTCCAGTTGTATATCTTAACTCTCTCATTTCAATAGGAGCTCATCTTTTCTTTTGAATTCAATACAAAATCCTCGAATGACCATTCTACCATTGAAGTGTAGTTGAACGTTCCATTTCTATCTTGCAATGATCCCTATAAAATATTTGGAACTCCAGGAGAGCTTGACATCTCACTGTATAGCAAACATATTTTATGCCCAGGCTATTGCTCATGCCATTACTAGAGATGTGCATGCTCCATTTCAACCTTTTTCCAACTAATTGAATCTTATCTCAAACTATCCAAAATGAAGCAAAAAAAAAAAAAAAAGTTACTATTTTACAAAATCTCTCCTAATTTGCCTAACTCAACATGCTTTCTTTCTTCTTTGAAACCTTATCACCTTTTGTATTCTTTCCCAGTTATGACACTTTCTTTAATTATTATGGATATCTGTGTATTTTTTCTTACATCCCTACCCGCATGAAGGCTCTTTATCATTATGTGCTGACCTTTCAGTCCTCCATACTCTTTTTGGTTTCTACAGCTTTTCTCTCAACACAAACCCTACCTAGAACATACTTTGCAGTACCTATTCATCAACCTGATCTAGTATGGTATATTGTCCCATGACGGAGTCACTGAGTGGCACAAACAGTTAAGTGCTCAACTACTAGTTGAAAGCTTGCTGGTTTGAAATCACCCAAAGGCTTCTCAGAAGACGAGCCTGGCAATCTGCTTCTGAAAGTTCACACTTTGAAAATCCTAAGGAGCACCGTTTTCCTCTGCAAACATGAGGTCACCATGAGTTGGAATCGACTCCGGAGCAACTAACAGCAATTCCCCCGTGAGCTCTTTTAGAAGGAGAGAAAAAAAAATCCAGTACTTGAACAGAGCATTTAACTTCTTCATTCCTTTTGAATAAAGTCTGAGAGCTGA